GATAAGAGTACAAACAATGCTAAACCACATTTGATTTGTTAAGTCTACTGCATACACTATTTATGCCTAGCTACATACAGTGTAATGTACTACCTGCAAGATTGATAGTTTCTCCGTTAACTTGTACATCTTTGATAGATCCAACAAAAGAGGATGATGGAGCAGCTTGGCCTTTGGTTTTGTTGAGCATGTCCAGGCCTGGTGGAACTCCCCCTATATACCAGTTGTCGTAGAGTTGTATCCCAATGAGTTTTCCTCTGACTTCACGCTTAAGTTCTACACCATTGCCAACTTGAAGAGTGCCAAAAGGTGTTCCTGAATTGCTGACATAGCTAAAATATTAAATTAAAACAAAAACAGGTTATCAGGAGTGTCCTATTAATTAGACATTAGTATAAATCTACTGGCATTCTATCACGAATGGCATTTTCTGATTGGCTACGCTACTCACTAGTTATTCTGTGATAGATAGTGGGTAGTGTAGCTGTTTGCACTTGTTAACAAAATGGCGGCCACTCCTTTGCACTTTTGAAGTGTCTGTGAATAGGATTTAGATAACGCTATGAACGACTAGTAGATTTATACTAAAACAATAATTAGATTATGAGCTCAAGATTTCTATAGCCTGTGTAGCTGGTGGTATTGTACATTGTAGGCACGCAGAATAAAGTTCTGGCAGCGAAGCTGCTAATCGCGAGCAGTGAAGCCGCGAGAAATACCACCTGCCAGAGAACTTGGGTTTTTTCAATACCACCCACTTTTATCACCTCATTGACCTCAACTGACCCCAATTAATCCAACCAATTAGAACGGACTATTCTTGCGCAAAATACAGGCGTGAAGGCGATGGTCTTACACTTTGTTGTTGATGCATGCATGGCGAATAATGTATAATTTACATCGAAGGGAGATACGCCTACAAAGCCAGTTAAAGGAAGAAAAAGCCACGACGAAAATGCTAACGACTCTTGTAGATTGTGTGGTGTCAATCTGAAGATAAAATTTCGTTACTTTCAGAAAAGTTCCAAAAACATTTCCACAGAAAATGTATTTAAACCTTCAGGTCACGTGAAGCGTGAAGGCCAGACATTAGCAGAACTTTGCTTGCTAATTGGCCTGAACATTGTGGAATCTAGTGTTCTATCGAGTCGAGTTTGTCAGTCTTGTGATCGAAAATATTCAACACCGTTGAACTTGTCTGGTTCATTCGCTCCGGCCTAGAAAGAAATGTGGAAGTTCCACTCTCTTCTTCGCATCAAGATACGCAAGTAAGGATTAAAAGTCTTCTTCCATCGTCTGCGTCTTCGCCAGACAGGAGTCCTCAAGCAAAAAAGAATTTACCCAAGGACCGTTCAACCACTAAGAAATCATTAAATTATTTTCTCAGAATCGACTCCTTCAAATGCAATGAATAAAGAAAACATGCCTTTGGATGTCAACCAGGAAACAATCACACCTTGTGTTCCACACTTCTCTGCAGAGTTGAACATAGAAAATTTGTGTGGTAAACAGATAACTTTAAAGTATTGATCGTAAATCCGAATGTGCAGGCAGTAATTCAAAGTCTTCCTCCTCATTCTCCTTGTGTCTTTGCTGCCAAAATTATATTTCGGCCTATGCCAGAACTTTATTCGGCGCGTCTACAATACCGCCAGCTACGCAGGCCAGATTTCTATGGCGCAATAGAGTTCTGTGTTTCCATTGAGCTCATAATCTAATTGTTTAATAGTAGGAGGCACTGTGGACTAAAGGTAAGCACGCTGAACTCCAGAACACGTGTTCACAGTTCAAGCCCTTACTAAAGTTGTTGTGTTGACACCTTCCTCTAACACGGTGCTTCTTTCAGGGATTGGGAAAGCAAAACAGGCAAATGAGCCTATGACCCATGGCATTGGAAAGTTATGGGCCATTTATAAAAAGTTTGGGCCATTAGGGTAAATAAATGGGCCATAAAAAAATTTCAACAAACGATATGTAATTCTCGATTGCTGTTGTTTTGTATGTTTTACTGGACTTCAAGCTAGGTTTAAGTGTACAGTCACAGAATATAGCTAACTCAAATTATATAACCTTTCATTGAGGTTAAACTATGCATTCTGAACTGGAATTGATTAAACTTAACATACTGAGCAGTCTGATATCAACATCACTGAGACATGCTCAGTTTTAGATTTAGAGTGACAAGTAATGTTGCATTTACAATTTAAAACTTGAGCTATGCATGAACTGTACATAACACACCTGTAGCTCTCTAATAGTTAATGAAACGTTACCAAACATTTTTTCATTCCTCAGAACTAGAGGGCTTGGAAACTTTGTCTTGAGCATTGCTTTCAGGATCACAATTCTTTGTGGTGAAATCGGCGTTTGTAGTGCAAAAAGCAACAATCTTTTCTAATTTCGGAACTTTCGCTTTCGGAGGCATATTATTGGCTAATTACAGCATGCAAAACATATTCAAATCAGCCGATTCTTTCATTAAAAAACAGAAAGCAAATGGATTGAGCAAGAACCTCATTTGCAAGCAGCGTCCAAGTAAGGGGTCTTGGGGACAAAAACAAAACGAACATTTTTATAACGTCGATTAAAGAGCAAACGCATCATGATTTCTAGCATGTTTGTTCGTCATTACACTGAAAATTTCACAAATGAAAATCCTTTTCACAAAATAGTGTACATTTTACTAGCTGT